GATGGCAATTCAACACCATCTTATATGCCAGCCCTGATCTATTAGTAGTGACTTCCTGAAGTACTGTGTTGAGAAGGATTTTGAGACCCTAGGCTCAGTGGGAAAGACAGGCATGACCTAATAATGATGTCTGTAATGAGGCAAGGATCGGAGTAGCAGCGGGAAGGGAAGAAGGCATGTCAAGATATGAGAACTTATGGGAATTGTTGAAGGACTAGTCCTTCTGGGTTATCCTATGAAGATTAAAATACAGCAAAGAGGATATAACATAAAAAACCTTTTCCTACCAATGTATTTGTCAAAAATTTAGAAGACAAGATAGGGTGGATGCTGTGGCTTGGCTCACTCAGCTTCTAACCCAATCTCCTTCTCACATGCCTTCCTGTGCTGCAGAGACTGGTAGCCCAATGCCTTCACTTCACAGGAGGAAAATGACACCAGTCACCTGACTTGCCTAGGGTTTCAGTTAGTCAATAGCAGGACCAGGACTAGAACCAAGTCTCCTCCATCTCTACACAATGCACTTTTTCTCTGCACCCAGGTCTTCTTATGAAACTTTAATTTCTTTTCCCATGTTGCCAGTATATGTCATTGTACATTTCTATAATTTTTCTTCCTTCAGTAAATTATCTTGCACTTGTCCCGATCTGTTCACTTTTCAAGTTCAGGACATTCTGAATTTTAAATGTTTCTCTGGCCCTATTTATAAATTTTATTCCCCATTTTGTCACTGGGAAGGCAGTAGTGTTCGGTGGTTAGGAGCATGGGGAGTGGAGTGAGGCTGCATGGCTTCGAATCCCAGCTCTACCACTATGAGTGTATGGCTTGGGGCAGTTACTTAACTTTCTCTGTCTTAGTTTCCTCATGTAATACAGGGATATCAGTTCTACTTTTCTTTGGTTAGAATGGTGCTTGGCACACAGTAAGTGCTTGTAAATGTCAGCTAAAATGGAATAGTATTATAGATAAGGATCACCCCTTTATCCAAAATTGAAAATGAATCATTAATAATTACTTTAGAGACATCTGTCTGTTACGATCATCTCTCTACCAAAAGGGGAAACAGCCTAACAATACTAATCACTCATACAGCCATAATGATTTTTACCAGCAACTCAGATTCAGAGGTTCAAAAAAATTACCTTTAACATGTAAAAATTTATCCTTTTCTGATAGCAATACCTAATCATGTGTTGTGCTTACCATGCGCCAGGCACTGTGCAAATTGCTTTTACATGCACAATTTTACTTAATCCTTAGACAACCTTAAGAAGTTATCATTATTATGATTCCCATTTGCTTTAGGGAAGCAAAACTTGCCTAAGGATCACACTTCAGAAATGCACATCCTTAAGTACTTCCCCATATTGTCTCCGAATCTGTGGGCATGCTACGTGCTAGATCAGTGGTTCTCAGCTGGGAGTGGTTTTGTGCCCCGCCACTGTGGACATTTGGTAATGTATGAAGACATTTTTGATAGTTATAACTGGGGGAGGAAGGGTGTGACTGGCATCTATTGGGTAAATGCCAGGAATACTGTTAAACATCCTACAATGCACAAGACAGCCCCCCACAACAGAGCATTATCCAGCCCAGAATGTCAATATTTACACCAAAGTCCATTGCAGCATTATTCACAATGGCCAAAAGGGAGAAACAACCCAAGTTCCATCAGCAGATAAATGGATAAAGAAAATGTGGTATGTACATACAATGGAATATTATTCAGTCATAAAAATAAATAGTTTTGATATACGCTATGCCATGTATAAACCTTGAAAACATTATAGTGAGTGAAATGACAGACACAAAGGACAAATATTGAATGATCCCACTTACATGAAATATCCAGAATAGGCAAATGCAGAGACAAAAGTAGATTAGTGATTACCAGAGGCTGGGTGGAGAGGAGAATGGGGGAGTTATTGCTTAAGGGGTACTGAGTTTCTGTTTGGGGTCATGAAAAACTTGTGGAAACAGACAATGGTGATGGTTGCACAACATGGTGAGTGCAATTAATGTCACTTGAATTGTACACTTAAAAAAGGTTAAGATGGCAAATTATTTGTTACATATATTTCACCACAATAAAAGTTTTAAAGATGTCAATAGTGCTGTGATTGAGGAGCCCTGTGCAATTATTTTCACACAGATGATCAAACTCTTCTCACAGCCAGGTAGGTATATTTGCTATCTCCATTTTACAGACAAGGAAAGGTACTCTCAGAACCAGAAGTGGTCAAAACAAGACAGGAACGCAGGTATTCTGACTCTAGAGAACTCCAGAGTTCCTTGTCACTACACTCCATTTTGAACAGCTTCTTTTACTATTATCGTTGTTGGGTGTATGTAGTCAATTTTGACCCATAGCGACCCCGTGTGACACAACAGAACTGCCCCATCAGGTCTTCTTGGCTGTAATCTTTAGGAGAGCAGATGGCCACCTCTTTCTCCGAAAGAGCAACTGGGTGGGTTCCAACCATCAACCTTTTTGTTAGCAGTTGAGCACACTTAACAGGTGGCACCATCAGGGGTCCTCCTTTACTATTAAAATGTGCAAAATCAAGTAGCACCTGCTTACCTATTATGAATTTCAGAAGCTAAGAACACTCTCTATCAGGGCAGCCAACTGAAAATTTCCAGCTGGGTGGGTGTGTCTCCAAAGATTAAAAAACATTTTTCCCCCCAGTAGTTCAAAGAAGAAACTGCTTACTACAAACCATTCATTTTTCTCCAGTAGACATTCAGATCGTTGCTGTAAAATAAAACTGAAGGAAAAGCTAATTTTAGGACATTAACAAGAATAATTAGCTCTGCATGAGTTTCGACTTTCATTCTTTTTTTTTTTTTTTTTCCTTTTGTTTTTAGGAGCTGGAGAGCTGGGAAGCTTATTTGGGAGTAGAAGAGGAAATGGAACTATGAAAAAACGCAGTAGATTCCTCTTTTTCTTGGAGGCAAGGCACAATCTGAATATGAATAACTCTCATCCTGTCCAATTAACTGGCTCAAGTACGAATAGAGAAAAAAAAAGTATATACACAGGCTTTTTGGAAGAAATTGAAGAAAAAGCCAAGAACATGATCTATCTCAAAAAACAAAAAACAAAAAAAAAAACAAAAAACCGAAACCCGTTGCCGTCGAGTCGATTCCGACTCACAGCGACCTTAAAGGACAGAATACAACTGCCCCATAGGGTTTCCAAGGAGCGCCTAATGGATTCAAACTGTGGTCCTTTATGGTTAGCAGTCCTCACCACTACGCCACCAGCGTTTCCCTCAACGGTAAAGGCCTATGCAAATAACTTCCTTACAGATTTTTAAGGCTAGTGTCTCCTGTGGGAAAACAACTACAACAACAACAAAAACAATGCTAATAAAACGGTGAGGGTGGGAGGTGGGAAGAGGAAAAGACCAGAGAACTCCAAGAGCTTGAAGGGGGAGGAGCTCAAGGAAGGGAGGAAGAAGGAGCTTCTGTCTCTGAGAGGAATTACGAAAAATGGAAGAACCGTGGGTAAAGAAAGTCTAACTGCTCAAGCAGTCGGGGCTGGGCGTGGGCAAGATGGCTCTTTGAATTAGAAATGAAGGGTCCGGACGCCTGCCAGACGCTTTCCTCCACCCGGCGTTCGTCGAGTGCAGGGGGTGGTTTAAGAACCTCCGAGTCACTCGAATTGTAAATCTTCTCCAATAAGGTTCTCCATATGGCGACGCAGGCAGCATGACAGTCGCGACTCGCTGCACTTCGTTCTGCAGCATTTCGGGATCCTCCCGCCCTCGCCCGCCAGATCCAAAACAGCCCCAGACATTCCGCGACGGGGATGGTTCCAGAAAGGGGAGAACCGAGCGCGATGAATAAGAAATGCGAATAGCGTGGCTCCAGAAAGGGCCTAAGAAACCTTAATTTGGGGTCAGTTTAGAGACTGGAAATGCGCCCAGTGCCGCAGGTGGCGAGGCGGGACGGGCATTTAGCATTCTGGAGCCCCTACCCTGTGCCGGGCGCCGGGCCTGGCGAGCCACATGCACTGCCCAGCGTGTGAGATAGACAGAATGGGTCTTCAAGGAGGTTGAATACCTTGTTTGCCGCTCCCTCTGTCTAGAACGCTCTTCCCGAGACTGGGGCGTGGCTGCTCCTTTCTCCGGTTCAGGAATGGGCATGCTACCTCCGCAGAGTCCTTCCCAGGGCGCCCAGCAGCTTCTATCACACACATCAACACACTGGAAAGCTCTTAGCCCTCACCTCTGTGCTCAAAGTTGATCAGCATTTTCTTGGTCGTTTATATATTTTCTTGTTTATGGTCTGCCTCCCCACTAAAATATAAGCTCCATGAAATTAAGTACCTAGGTGCCATTATCACAGCTGCATGCCCACAACTGTACCTGGCACACAGAAGGCACTCAGTAAACGATGATTCCCTTCCCACCCCGCCAACTGCGGCATTCGACGCATTTCCAGTTTCCACGCTCACCCCAAATTACCAATTGCTCGTATTCATGCTTGGGGCAAGAGGCCAGGAAGCCAGCGGGCAGCCAAACCGGTTGGACTTTTTCGTCTGTCTAAACATCTTCTGGATTTTAACTATGATGCCCCTCCCCTGCCCCTGGATAATGAGCTGCATATAAGAAGAAAAATTAAAACTGGTCTTCTGCTAGGCCCCCGGCACGAATTTGCACTACTGCCTCTGGACGTCGGGGTCACAGTCTTGGGCCCCGGGTCCCACACAGAATCTGTCTTCGTCTTCTGGCCCCTACCATCCTCCCTTCACCACGTATTTTCTCCATCCTCGATCCGTTTGCCGCCGTCTGACTTCTTCAAGAGGTTGAGTCCTCTTCGCCTGCTCAACCACGTGTGCCCCCAGACCCTTCTCCTCATACCTGCCGGTCCCGCGCCACCCTCCCTTCTCCTTCTTGCCCTGGCCCGGAAACGCCATTCGTCGAACACTTATGAAGCGCCTACAGCGCGCCGCACCGCGCTGGGCAGCCGGGGCCCCTTCCTAAGTCCCGCCTCAGCTCTCGCTTCCCTCCGCCCTTCCCACCTGTCCGGAACCCGGGTCCAAACTCCCGCGATTGCGTCATAGAATCCACCGCCTTCTTCCAAGGGCACTGTCCCGCCTCTCTCCCCGGAGGCGACTTCTTATTGGTAGCAGTGCCGGTCACTCCGCTGCCACCTCCCACTCTCCCTGCTGGCCCCGCCTCCAGGGCGACGCAGGCTCCTTCCCGCTCTCTGGCTCCTCCCTCCCTCTCCTCCCGCTAATCGCTGGGCGGCGTGCGCCGAGAAGTTCTGAGCAAAGTACTGGGAACTGGCAGCGCGATCGCACCGCTGGCGATCGGGGCAGTGGGGAGAGGCGAGAGGCTGGCAGCCGGTGCGCAGCGTGGACTCCAGCCCTGCCGCCGTCCGTCTGCCAGTGGCCATTCCCGCCCCCCTCTCCTGTGGCTGGTGCGGGAACTGTCAGCTGCGCGCTGCGGAGCGGCCAGAAAAGCCGGGTTTGCCTCCTCTCTGGTCTTTGAGCGAACCTGGAGCCCGGCACCGGGAAACTAGGCGGCGTCTGCTGGTTGCAGAGCGCGCAGGTAAGCGCTGAGGCGCCCTCCAGAATGGGGTGGTGTGTGGTGGGGGCCTGGCGGTGGCAGGGGCTCGGAAGGGGCTGCGATTTCGGGGCGTCACTAGTTTCCCGCGGCCGATCGTGGGCTCTGCCTCCTGTTACCCGGGGAGCGGCCGGTAGGGCAGCCCCGAAACGGGGTAGGGGGCACTCTCGGTGCTGGCGCCAGATCCCCGGTGGTAGGGGCCGTTGCCCACCCTAGGTTCCGGTCCCCGTAGGAACGGCTTGGCCGAGATTGAAGCGGAGAAGGCAGCGAGCGCAGGGGCCTGGGTCCGGGCCCCGGAGGATGATGCGGCGCTGAGTGGCTGTCCTGGGAGGCACAGGAAACCTGTTTTATTGGCCCCGCGGGAGGCTTTACCACATCCGCGGATGGGGCGCGCCGGGGGACACGAGGGAAGCTCGGCGGTGCGGTCGCGCCCGTTCGCCCGCCTCTCCTTGCCTGCCTGCTTGTCTCCCTCGGCTGCCGGCGCCGCTGGGCTCGGGCTGGGGGCCATGAGCACCCGCCCCTTCGGGCTTCCCTGCGCCCTGGGAAGTGTTTGCAACTGCTGGAGTCGCTGACCGGTGCTGTTGTAGATCGTCCAGATACTTCTTAGCCAGGGCGCGCTGCCGTCCTTAGGCAACGCAACTTGCCCGCCGCCTTCTGCACAGTTGTGCTCTCCCTTCTCGGTTTCACAAACTACCAGTCTTCTCAGTCGGTAGTCTCTGAACTGAAGAAATAGGAGCTGTGAAGTTGTCGCCTTTTACGTGTCCAGGAACTGCGCTGAGATGAGTCTGAGTGCCCCCAGATGTTGCACTGACTCTCAGAGTTTTAGTACTGGGATGAGGGCATTAAGAAATGTTTTAAACTGGAGCTGCAAAAGAGGTATTTCCGTAGACAAATAAAGCGTAGGCCTGGCTTTTGATCCCTCTCACTGCATCCCCAAACATTGTACAAGCGGAGGTCCCTCTGCTGGCCAAGGGAGACAAGTCAGGCAGGACTGGGCTGAAATGCACTCAAGCTAATGACCATGCTTTCCACCACCTTGCTTGCACACCACTCTGTCTGGTGTTCCTCATAGCACTTATCTCTCTCTGAAATTATCTCCTTTGCTTACTTAGTATCTGCCTTCCCCCACTGGAATGTAAATTCCAGGAAAGCTGAGTCCTTATCTGTCTTATCATCACTTGATCCCCAACATTAAGAACAGTGCCTGACACACAGGTGTGCCATAAATATTTGAAGAATGAATGAAAACTTCTCCATAAAATATGAGAACTTGTGAGATACAGTTGCTGGTTTTGATTTTCATCTTTATGTATCCATTTTTTCTACAAATAGCAATTAATTACTACTTATTGAGCTAGACCTACTAAGTACCAGGATGTGTATTAGGTACTTTGTATAAATTACTTCATTAAACATTGTTGTTAGTTGCCTTGAAGTTGGCCCCAACTCATGGCAACCCCATACACAACAGAACTTAACGCTGCCTGGTCCTATGCAATCCCCATAATGAGTTGCTGATCTGGACCATGGTGATTCATAGGGTTTTCATTAGCTAATTTTCAGAAGTAGATTGCCAGGCCTTTCCTCCTAGTCCGTCTTAGTCTGGAAGCTCCACTAAAACCTGTTAAGCATTATAGCAACACACAGTCTACCACTAACAGACAGGTGGTAGCTGTTCGTGAGGTGCATTGGCCAGGAATCAAACTGGAATCTCCTGCATGGAAGATGAAAATTCTACCACTCAACCATCATTGCTTCTAGTAAACACTATAGTAGCCTTATTAGCTAGGTACTTTTAACCAGATGGGAAATTGAGGCTCCAGCAAGTTAGCTGACTTTCCCAAGGCCATCCTGGCAGAATGAGGATTCCAGCCCATTTTCTGTCTCTAGTGTGCTGGCCTGCTTCCAAGAAACCAAAATGTAGTTTCCAACATTACAGCCAGTAGATATGTAGCTTTATTTGTAACAAAAGCTATTGCTTAGCTAAAAGAAGATTTGTTGTTTTTAATCACTATATTTTCCATAATAGTTGTAGACCAGATACTAAGCGGCTGCCACCTGCTGTTATTATCGCATTTAATCTTCACAATCTTGACAGGCATTGATGTGAGTTTATCTCCATTTTACAGATGAAGAAGTTGAAGCCTAGATTCAGGAACTTGCCCAGGGTCAATAGTAAATTGCTGGGCTAGATTTTGTTAATAGTCAGAAAGGCTATTGACTGTGACTCTAAACCCTGCCCTCCCTCCACTAAACTGATGTCTCTTACTCCCAATGTTTAATTAGATATTAACACATTATGATAGAGCCCAATGACATAACATATTAAAACCATCTAAGGTTGAGCTATAAAACTTCTGGTGCCAATATCAGTTCTAGTAGTACTGTTTTCTGAAGTGTTGAGACTCTCACTGCCATTGATTTTTTGTAGTTGAATTTCTGGTTTGTGGGTATGGTAATCTGGGGGCTTTTAATAGAGGAGGAAAGGAAATCCTCCTTCCACTTAAATCTTTTAAAAAGCAGATATGTATGCCATCTGAAGTGCGATCTGATTGGTTTTACCCACTTCGGGGAATGAAGAACCCTGAACAGTAATGCTTGATGCCTCCTGAGGAAAGTACTGGAATGCTTGCTCGTTTCTTTGTTCCCATATGTAGAATGGGGAGTTAGAAACGACTACTAATTCCAAAAGCGTCTGTTAGTAAAGACTGTTAGTAAAATAACTACACTTCAACTCTTCCCAGTCCTGCGTTGAAACTAAGGGGAAGGAGAAGTTGGAGTGTGGCATGGTTACCACCCAAAGGGCTAATGGCAGCATAGGGGATAGGGAAGGAAGTAGAGTTTCCTTGTTTCCTTCCATTTCCATTCCAGTTTTTTTAGGGGCAGATGTAACATTTTTTCCTTGTATAAGGGTCTGGATAATCCACAGTTTTATTAATAATGTGCTTCTCTGCAGTACTGTATTTTCTTAATTGTGAATTCCATTCAGGAGTGCTCCAGGGAGGGCTGGAGAATCCTCCACAAACTAAAACCTCATGGAAGGGATGGGGCTTGGGACACCAGGGAAGATGAAAGCTGAAAGAGTCTTTCTTGTATGACTGAGAGTTGTTTATAGTTCTTTGCAAGTTTCTTTCCTATCTAAATCTAAATATTCATTAACTCTCTGGCCCTCTCCTCTGGAAATCTTTGTTTCCCAGTTACTACTGATGCGACCATGTTCGTGCTCAACCCAACTCCTGTCTTCTTCTTTCTCAGTGTCTTTCACATCTGTCCCTTCCTGTTGCTTCTTACTGTAGACACTTAGGGACTTCTGCAGTCTGTCCTAACATTGCCTACAGGTGGGTTTTCCTACCAAAGTCTCTCCTTTATGCCATCCTGGCAGAATGAGGATTACAGCCTATTTTCTCTCTAGTGTGCTGGGCTGCTTCCAAGAAAACAAAATGTGGTTTCCAACATTATGACCAATAGATATGTAGCTTTATTTGTAACAAAAGCTATTGCTTAGTTAAAAGAAGATTTGTTGTTTTTATCACTATATTTTCCATAATAGTTGTAGACCAGATACTAAGCACTGTTATTATCGCATTTAATCTTCACAATCTTGACACGCATTGATGTGAGGTTACCTCCATTTTTACAGGTGAGTACATTATATTGCTAAAAAGTCTTAGGTGGCTTTGACAGTTAATGCTGATAATATTAATAGCAGCGGTAGCCGCTGAACTTTTATGTGTCAGATACTGTCATAAGTACTGCACATGCATTGTTGCATATAATCCTCAGAGCAAGACTGAAGCAATACAGAGCAACCACTCAGCAATACTGAATGTATTATTGCATTTAATGCAGGTATTGTCATGCATGTCTGTCTTATCATACATAATGCATGTAGTATTTATTATCATACATAATGCATGTATCGTCATGCCCCCAGTCTTGGGGTGAGGCTGGGAAAGTTAAATTCACAACTATTTCCCTGTTAATATATGGTGGAATGGAGACTCAAACTCCAGGTCCTGCTGTCTACCAAATTATTTTAAGCAGAGACCCCATAGCCTAAAGTCAGGACTCTGCAACCTGGGCTCAATCTCCCACCTTCATTTACCATCCGCCAGCCCTGTGTGCTGGCAGTCTGAACTATTATTGATCAACAAAGTATTTTGCCATTGCCCATGCACTCTTGTCGCCTTGGAAGCGAGCATTATCTCTCCCTGTGAAAACCTAAGTCTTTCAAGGCTGAACTCAAACCTCTTCTGCCAGATTAACTTCCCTAACCCAATTTCAGAGCATTTTTTTTTTTCCAAAAAAGCACAAGAGAGTCTCCAGTTCAGTTTCTGACCACTGAGTATGTTACTGGTTTCTTTCCTTCCGTCAACACTTTGTACCTATCATATCCCCCGCTCCCTCACCCCTGTGCCTAGTGACCTAGTTATTTTTGCAAATATATTGCCTCCTTTACTAGATTTTAAATACCTTGAAGACAGGAAGAGTGTGCTTTCTTCATATTTCTATCCCTCACATCACGAAGTCTGATGTCCTATCCATAATAGCTGTTCAATTAAAAAAGGAATATTAAACAATTACATTTGGTTACATTCTGTTAGAATATTCTGTGAAAAAAGTAACTGGAGGGCAGCATTTTGTTTTTTGCTTTTTGATCCGCAATACTTTAATGCCTTCATCAACTTATAATGAAGTAATAGAATTCTTAGTTATTTGCATCCATGAAAAACACCTGTCTTGGTTGTTCTGACGTTTGGACCATGGAAGTATTGCAAAACCAAAAAAAAACAGTTGCTATGGAGTCCATTGTGACTCATGGTGACCCGGTATGTGTCAGAATAGAGGTATGCTTCATAGGGTTTTCAATGACTGATTTTTTTGGAAGTAGATTGCCAGGCCTTTCTTCCGAGGTGCTTCTGGGTGGACTCAAGCCTCCAGCCTTTTGGTTAGCAGCCTGAACATTAATTGTTTACACCATCTGG